TCCACACACACACTAAGTGCTCATGGGCTAAGTCTTTTAACAAGTGGTGTGAAAAATAGGATGAGTATCTGACTTTAAGTAAGTATATGAAAACTCTTGCATATTTGAGATTTTGTATCTAATTGAACTTTAATTCCTACAATTTCTTTGCATGCATATCATATAGTTGCATTTTTGCACTAGGATTTTGTGGGTTAATCCACTGAAAACCCTCATGAGACACAACTCATCTACTAGGGTGACCTAGGGGTTTAAAGGCTTGTTGCACATGCTAAGTGCAATCGTGATTTCAACGAAAGTGAGTTAGGTTTTATTTTTATTTTTTTTGTTATTTTATTTTATTTTATTTTTAATTTTTCCTTGAGGACTAGCAAAACTCAAGTTTGGGGGAATTTGATGAGCCTAAATTTCATACAATTATACATGGCTTTTTAGTCATTAATTGTAGTTTTTTATATTTTATTGGAACGATTTTATTTGGTTTTACATTACTTTTATCATTCTTTGTAGGTAGAGGGTAAAACTAAAAAAATTGAGAGTAAATGGGCTGAACTGACAAAAGTTGAAAACATCAAGTCTGATTCCATGATTTCCCCATTCAAAGACCAGAATTGAATTTTCTTCCTGCATACATGTGACACAACATTGTGGGCTTTATCTCATTGTGGAGATAAGATAGGCTTTAAAAAAAAAGGGCACGCAGTTTTCGCAGGGGGTTTGATATAAAAAGGGGATTTTTGGAGGCGAAAAAAAAGAGACTTCCGAGAGCGGATTTTAGAGGCAACTGGCAGAGAGCTTGGAAGGCGAGTTTGAGGCAGAGCTTGCGCGGATTCTATGTGAGTGACGGCAGAAGCAAAGGCAGCCACTGGGGACACTTCAATCGAAAACAAAGGGGACAAGCGCGACAGTGAAGGCTACAGATCTGAGTTCCACAAATTGGGTTTTTGCTCTTCTAAACTTATTTTTTCCTTTGTTTGGATATGGGATTGTGGTTCATCAATTTAATCTCAGATTTTATCATGTTTAGTATGAACTAATTTTGCCATCTAAGGCTACGATGTAGCCTAATCAATTTAATATAGAATTTCATGATTTTTATACTTTCAATGGTTATTATTTCATGTAGAGTATATATTATTGTTCTTAATGCCTTTTAATGATTGGCCACCATTAAAACTAATTTGAAGAGCATAATTGAGACCAAGAGGAGATTTTTTGCTATAGCTTTTAGTAATATATACCATGAATTGAACAAAAGCCAGAGATGGACCAACGTGATTTGTGTAGCATTAGTGATAAATGGACTTAATTTTCTACATAAACTAGGGAATTTCATAGAACATAATGCATCTTTATCTATTTAAATTCACGTAGAGATATAGTGGGTTAATAGGTAAAGATAGGTTTATCGAATAAGATAGGAAATCTCGCTGTCACGTGAATAATAAATACCTTGAAAGTATATTGATCTAAATTCTATATTAGTTGATGATGGTGAAGTCGAATGCCTTAGACTTTTAATTCTTGGTGTTACTCAAAGTTAATTTCATTTTTCTTTAACTAGTTTAGTTATTTAATTTATTCAAATCATTTAATTTCAATTGTTCAAATAAAATTAGAATTCATTAATTTTGGTGCTTAATTAGTCTACGGTCTCTGTGGGACGATACTCTATTTTCATCATTATATTATTTGAACAGACTAGTACACTTGCTAGAGTGGAATTAGCTCATCAAGTCTCCTTTTTTTTTAGATGTCAGTGTATCTAATCCCAAAAGGTATGATTCTATCCATTGATAAATTACGTAGAAGCTTTTTGTAGGGGGGGAATGAAAAAGGGAGAAGGATTAGCTGGGTGAAATGGGAACAAGTTTGCAAGGACAAAGCTAGAGGAAGGCTGGGTGTGAAAGATTTAAGAACATTAAATATGGCATTATTAGGCAAGTGGTGGGGTAGGTTAGTGTCAGAGGATGAAGGGTTGTGGAAGAAGGTCATTTTTGAAAACTATGGGAAGGAGGGAAAGTCTAGATTTAACTAGATAAGAGACGGCAATAGTAGGGGGTCAATATGGTGGAAAGATATATGCGGGCTTAATGTTATTGATGATGAGAATAGGGGGTGGTTAGAAGAAGGATTGAAACTGAATGTGGGTGAAGGAGTAGATGTAAAATTCTAGGGGGACAATTGGAAGGAGGGGGACAGTTTTGGTAACAAATACCTAAGACTTTATTCATTGTCGACATGAAGAAATAATCAAATTTGACAAATGGGGAATTGGATCAATGGAGCTTGGAAGTGGAACTTACAGTGGAGGAGGTGCTTGCACAGTTGGGAAAAGCAACAAGAGGAAGAGTTGCAAAGGGAGATCCAAGAAATTAAAATCACAAGAAGAAAACCAAACTTGAGGGAGTGGGTCCACAACAACGAGGGGAGATACACAACAAGGACAGCTTATCAAATTCTGACAAAGGAGAACAGTTCAAATTAGCAAGGAGCAGTGCTTCACAAAGCCTGGAATGTGTTTATCCCCAGCAAGATTGCGGCTTTCTCATGGCAAGTGTTGCAAGACAAAATACCAATAAAACTCAATCTATTAAAAAGGGGGATCATACGAGATATTGGGGAATGCAAATGTGTCTTTTGTGGAGTTGCATTAAAGGATACCAGCCATTTGTTCATACACTACAAAGTAGCTTATAGCATATGGAATGCATGTTTTAAATGGTGGGGAGTAAAAACTGCACTGGATAAGGACTGCGATAAGGTGTTGGAACAACATCCAAATTTGATTAAAACTACAGGGGAAAAGAAGGGGTGGGAGTGCATCCGATTCTCTATTGTATGGTCAATTTGGCTAGCTAGAAATGAAAAAATATTTAGAGGGAAAGACGCAGATAGAGATAGGATTATGGAACTTGTTCAACTAAGGGCATTCAACTGGATAAAATGCAAAGGAGGAGGAGGTTTTTTTTCATTGGCGGACTGGTTCCACAACCCGGCTGGTTGCTTGGAGATGAGCTACGGCAACAGAAAGAGCATGAATAGTGAGAAATGAAGAAATTGCAAAAGAGGACAAAACCCGACACGGATGTGGTGTCGACACCAAAATTAGGTGTCGACACCATATGGTAGGCATCCTAGATTCCGACACGGACGTTGTGTTGATACACAATTTTGGTTTCGACACCACACGAAAGGGTTATTAAACTCATGTAAATTTATGCCTTTTAAGTTGAGATATTTATGAGTTTGGGGTACCCTTTATACTCCATTTTTTTATTAAATATTACTTTTTACTGTTCAAAAAAAAAAAAAAAAACACATGTAGCTTATAAATAACAAATCCTAAACCAAACATATGTTACACATGCAACCAACAACCTTTTTCCCTTCCTTGCACTCTTAGACAATAGTGAGTGCTTACAGCTTCAAAGTTTGATTCTTTTTATTTTTTTATTTTTACTTTTCTATTAATGATTTTTAAGTTATATTCTTTGTTTATTGTATAGATGATTTTTTAGTTTTTAACTTCAAATTTAACATGATAAGAATCATAAATCAAAAGCATGGGCACAGGATATTAAAGTAATTAAATACAATACTATCAGCCACTATCCTTCTCTAACAAATCAAAATAAAAGATTAAGAGGAGTATGAGCCAAAAACCTATACATCTTTGAAGGATTTTTATTCTATTACTTAATTTATTTTCTGTCTTTATCTTTTTGGGTACATATTTTTTGTTCTTCATTGTTAATTATTTAATTGAGTTTAATTTTTTAATAGTACATAAATTTGAATTAAGGATGTGAAACTAAATTTTAATTCTCTAATATTATTTTAGATTATGTTTAAGTTTAAATTGTAATAACTAATATTTTATTAAAATTTTACTAGTTTTGTTTAAATTTAGATTCAAAGTAAACAATATTTCATTAAATTTTAATTTGAAAAAAAAAATAATAAAGCAAAATGCTATTCAACAAGTATATAATGATATACCTGCAAGTTATCTATTACCTATTGGATTAAGTACCACCAAGTATAGGTCTTCAAGTATCTGGATAAGTATCTATCTATATTATAAAGGAGAAACCATGGATGGAAAGTCTTGCCAAGTGTCAAATTATTGTGTAATTTTTAAGTTATTGTTCTTTTAACACGTGGCTCACTTACTTTAATTAGAAATTTTTTTCCTACTAAATGCAAGTTATTAATAAATTAATTAATTTAAATAACTAAATTACCCTTTTCCTAATTTTAACCCAAATTCACATATCTAAAAATAAACAAAGAAATTTTCACCGTTTTTCTCTTATTGCTCTTCGTCTTCCTCTCCATTAGTGCCGTTTCCGGCTGCACCATGGATGGAAAAATTGTTGTTCTTCCTGTCTCCATTAGCACCGTTTCCTACATTATTTCCCACCCACTTTCATAAATTCCTTTCTTTCTATTTTTCCTTTCCAGTTTGCCTTTCATTTCCCCTTAGATTTTGCATCCACCTTCTAAATCCCTAATTTCAAAAACTCCACCCACTTCCGGCTGCACCGTGTTTCTCTTATTGCTGTTCTTTTTCCTATCTCCATTATTTTACACCCACTTTCATAAATTCCTTTCTTTCTTTTTTTCCTTTCCGGTATGCCTTTCATTTCCCCTTAGATTTTACATCCACCTTCTAAATCCCTAATTTCAAATAAACTCCAATTTAACAAAATTTATAGGTGCTTCTTCTTCCTCTCTCCATTAATTCCATGCCTGCATATGTAGATTTCTCACTTGCAATGGAAACGAACTCCAATTTATCGAAAAATACAGGTGCTTCTTCTTCCTCTCTCTGTTAATTCTATGCTTGCATATATAGATTTCTCATTTGAAATGGAACAAAACTAAGTCACTGACTGTTTATTGTTCTTAATTTTTCATTTATTGGTCTTAATTTCTCATTCCAAATACCTATGGATTGTTTTTGCACAGGCACAAGACCCATTGATTGCCTTCCATTGATTCCCTACTGTCTCCCCTTTTAGTGGGTTTCGATGGTGCCCATACGTTACCGGCTGACTGTACAGACCATGTCAGCGGGCAATTATTTTATTTGCCGGCTGTAAGTTCTTGAATTAAAACTCTATTTTTCTTATTCTTCTTTTTAATTTTTATTTATTATTTTTCTTGAAAAAAATAAATAAATAATCAATATGCTTCTTACTTCCCAATAGATTGGTATTATTTTTTTTTCATTTTCAAATACATTAATAGCAAGCCAACCTCTTTTGTCT